GGTTTAGTCCTGGTTTAGTCCTGGTTTAGTCCTGGGATCAGTCCTGTTTTAGTCCTGGTTCAGTCCTGGTTTAGTCCTGGATCAGTCCTGTTTTAGTCCTGGTTCAGTCCTGGTTTAGTCCTGGTTTAGTCCTGGTTAGTTCTGGTTTAGTTCTGGTTCAGACCTGGTTCAGTCCTGGTTTAGTTCTGGTTTAATCCTGGTTCAGTCCTGGGATCAGTCCTGAGTTAGTCCTGTTTTAATCCTGGTTTAGTCCTGGTTCAGTCTTGGTTTAGTCCTGGTTCAGTTCTGTTTTAGTTCTGGTTTAGACCTGATTTAGTCCTGTTCCAGTCCTGGTTTAGTCCTGTTTTAGTCCTGTCTTAGTCCTGGTCCTGGTTCAGTCCTGGTTCGGCCCTGGTTCAGTCCGCATGCGGTGCAAAAGTCCAGTATCGCAGTTTAAAATCGAAAACGATTCATTTTGGTTTTGGAGACAAATTCTGGCGAAAATAGTTATTTTTTCATTTTCTTATTTTTGGTTTTATTTTGAAAAACAAATGCACGAATGACACACGGATTTTCCACAGTTTGGATTTTTTAAATATGTCACGAGTACAGAGCGGTGGGTGGAGATAGGGGGTAGGTGAAACAGACTATTTTGCGTTACTTAGGTCTTAAAAGCAGAACAAAACGACTGATTATTCACAAAATCATCAATGAATCAACTGAAACAAAAAACTCAACACGTCTCCTTTAAGGTCATTATATTTAAGATTGAGCAAATTATTTTCACACTTTGTCCATTTTTTAAGGTTTAAATTTGCACTTTCTTGACATCACACTAGGAAATTCAACAACTGTCACTTATCAACAGTGTTATTCAGTGATCTCAAATTATTTTTTTTATTATTTATTTATTTATTGTGTTTAAATGAATAATGAAAAAAAAAAAAAAAAGAACAGAAACAAAAAAACAAAACAAAACAAACAAACAAACAAACAAAAAAAACACATTTTAGTCCTGGTTTAGTTCTGGTTTCATCCTGGTTTAGTCCTGGGATCAGTCATGTTTTAGTCCTGGTTTAGTCCTGTTTAGTCCTGTCTTAGTCCTGGTCCAGTCCTGCTCCAGTCCTGGTTCAGTCCTGGATTAAGTCCTGTTTTAGTTCTGGTTTAGTCCTGGTTTAGTTCTGGTTTCGTCCTGGTTTAGTCCTGGGATCAGTCCTGTTTTAGTCCTGGTTCAGTCCTGGTTTAGTCCTGGTTTAGTCCTGGTTCAGTCCTGGTTTAGTCCTGGTTTAGTCCTGGTTTACTCCTGGGATCAGTTCTGGTTTTGTCCTGGTTTAGTCCTGGTTCAGTTCTGGTTTAGTTCTGGTTCAGACCTGGTTCAGTCCTGGTTTAGTCCTGGTTTAGTCCTGGTTTAGTTCTGGTTTAATCCTGGTTCAGTGATCTCAAATTATTTTTTAACAAATACAAATCAGAAAACACCTTTATTTTGTTGAAATAATGTTAAAAGTATCAGTTTCTTTTGTGTAAATTGTGCCAAACCTGAGGACAGAATTCTCCCCAGTGTGATGTGACTCTCTAAAATAAAACTCTCAACTTTACTTCCTCTCATTTTTAACATATTTTTCAATTTTCCTTCGCGCTTTTCTTCCTGATTTGGGTAAAACGATCATTTATATTTAAGAGGTGTTATCCCGCCAAATTAAACTGAAATTAGAGAATGATCATAACCTGTCACACGCGCTTTAAAAGAGGAAAGATGGGAACAGTTTCTACTCGAAAGTGTTTTAATGCCTCAGATTTCTCCAGGTTTAAAGTCCTCAAAGCAAAACAGAGTAAAGTAAAGTGGCCACAGCTGCCTTGGGACGAACGGGTGGAAACGTGGCTGCCAGTCTGCGCCAACGATGTCTTCAACAACCACTGTTGGGCAAGTGACTTTAAAACTGTAATGTTTTATTTATGACTTTGTTACTGTCATTTCAAAGTCATTTGTTACATTATAATATTACTGCATTTAAAATATAAAATATTACACGATTATTACAGCACTTTTCATTTACTCTCACCAAAATAACTGAAAAGATGCTGAACTTTTGCACCGAATATGGACTGAACCAGGACTAAACCAGGACTAAACCAGGACTGAACCAGAAATGAACCAGTACTGAACCAGGACTAAACCAGAGCTGAACCAGAACTAATCCAGGACTAAACCAGAACTGAACCAGAAATGAACCAGAAATGAACCAGGACTGAACCAGGACTAAACCAGAACTAAACCAGAACTAATCCAGGTCTAAACCAGAACTGACCCCGGTCTAAACCAGGTCTAAACAAGCACTAAACCAGGACTAAACCAGGACCAAACCAGGGCTAATCTTGGAATAGAACTTGGAAGTGCTTTGCAGACAGGGTCTCCACAAAGCGCGATCGGGCATCAGCTGCATTTAGCCCCGTACAGCTCGGAGTTTTGAGCCGGTCCTTTCGCCCACGGTCACCTGACGGTCACCTGACGGTCACCTGACGGTCACCTGACGGTCACCTGACGGTCACCTGACGGTCACCTGACGGTCTACACAGACGCGTCTTCAGCGTTTCATCGCTGCTGATATCGCGGTGATTTTAGCAAATTTGTGTGAAGAAAAACCCACCACTTTAATCCAGGTTAAAAAAGCTTTGTAACGTGTGATACTGACATTTCTACTGAGTAAAATATATTTTTTTAAATTCCCTGCAATGCCACATTACTGCATTACAGCAAAAAGCAACGCATTACAGCACAGGTGTCAAACATATGGCCCGGGGGCCAGATCCGGCCCTCCAAGACCTTTAATCTGGCCCTTGGCTGATTTTCTACTAAAATATTTCAATTATATTTTCTATTAAAATCTTGTTAATTTTCTGTGGTGTTTTATCACAGCAGCGTCTCCAGTGTCTCTGTACGTGGCCCCTCCCACCAGAGCAGCACAAATGAAGACTTGTCTCTTTCCAAACGCTCTTAAAGGACGATCGTTTTGACTGTTGACCGTGACACCCTCATCAGAAAAATGTCCAACATGAGAAAAGTGGAGCCGAGTGCAGGATTTTACAAGAAAAACTGACTTATTCCTATTTACATACAAGTTATTTTTAAAATGTTGTGTTGAAATTGTATTTTTCTTAAAGTTTCAGGTTGTTCATAATATTTTGTAAAAGAAAGAGTTCATCAATTCAAAAAGATTTCTGTAATAGATTTGTGTTTCTCTGCACAAATATTTGAACTTATTGTTATTTTTGGGGTTTATATGACATGAGTTTTCTGATCCGGCCCCTTTGGGATCAAAGTAAACTGGATACGGCCCCTGAACCAAAATGAGTTTGACTCCCCTGCATTACAGTAATTCATTACTTTTATAACACGTTACTCCCAACACTAACAACAACCAACAATCACACAAACACAAAGACACACACATTACATCCGCAAATTTGGCAGAAGTGTCTTGCCAAACTATTTAGTCATAACATTTTTATCGAGCCAAAAACAAAGTACAACTCAAATTGTACAGGATCAAAAGCGTTAAAATAGTTAAAATAAAAATAAACAACAGCCTGCGGAGGTACACAGATCTGAAGTGAATCTGAAGATGTTTCTCACATAGTTACAGATTCTAAAAAAAAAAAATCAATAAAAGTTTGCCACACTTTTTTAAATAACAGTCGTTTATCTTTTAACAAATATCATTTTTCCTCTAGATGTAAAATGTTAACAAGGTTTCGTGGTTGGTACTGACATATTTTCTTTGCATTAATAAGACGTCCAGATTCTAACATGAACCAGTCAGACCCGGTTTGACCCCAAGTGCTTTTAGACGACTGAACAGTTTGGATTTAATATTTGATTTTATCGTTATCGTTTTCATTACATCATATTTTATTTTGTTTCCATGTGTAGAAAACTTTATTTAGAAATGTGCTGTTTAGAAACGGGCGGCAGTAGCTCAGACAGACAGCAGCTGGATCAGTCCTGGTTTAGTCCTGGATCAGTCCTGGTTGAGTCCTGGGATCAATCATGGGATCGGTCCTGGTTTAGTCCTGGTATAGTCCTGGTTCAGTCCTGGTTCAGTCCTGGTTCAGTCCTGTTTTAGTCCTGGTTCAGTCCTGGATTAGTCCTGGTTCAGTCCTGGGATCAGCTGTGTTTTAGTCCTGGTTTAGTCTTGTTTTAGTCCTGGTTCTAGTCCTGGTTTAGTCCTGGTTTAGTCCTGGTTCAGTCCCGTTTTAGTCCTGTTTTAGTCCTCGTTTAGTCCTGTTTTAGTCCTGTTTTAGTCCTGGTTTAGTCCTGGGATCAGTCCTGGAACAGTTGTGATTTAGTCCTGGTTTATTCCTGGTTCAGTCCTGGTTTAATCCTCCTGGTTTTGTCATGGTTTAGTTCTGGTTCAGTCCTGTTTTAGTCCTGGTTTAGTCTTTTTTTAGTCCTGGTTCTAGTCCTGGTTTAGTCCTGGTTCAGTCCTGGTTCAGTCCCGGTTTAGTCCTGTTTTAGTCCTGGTTTAGTCCTGGTTTAGTCTTGTTCTAGTCCTGTTTTAGTCCTGGTTCAGTCCCGTTTTAGTCCTGTTTTAGTCCTGTTTTAGTCCTGGTTCAGTCCTGGTTCAGTCCCGTTTTAGTCCTGTTTTAGTCCTGGTTCAGTCCTGGTTTTAGTCTTGTTTTAGTCCTGGTTTAGTCCTGGTTCAGTCCCGTTTTAGTCCCGTTTTAGTCCTGTTTTAGTCCTGTTTTAGTCCTGGTTCAGTCCTGGTTTCAGTCCCGTTTTAGTCCTGTTTTAGTCCTGGTTCTAGTCCTGGTTCAGTCCTGGTTCAGTCCTGGTTCAGTCCCGTTTTAGTCCCGTTTCAGTCCCATTTTAGTCCTGTTTTAGTCCTGGTTTAGTCCTGGTTCAGTCCCATTTTAGTCCTGTTTTAGTCCTGGTTTAGTCCTGGTTTAGTCTTGTTTTAGTCCTGGTTTACTCCTGTAGTAAGGACTGTGTGTGTTTGCGGAGCGAGAAAGAGAAAGAGGAAGAGGAGGAAGAAGAGGAGGAGGAAGAGGAGGAGGAGGAGGAGGAGGAGGAGGAGGAGGAAGAGGAGGAGGAGGAGGAGGAGGAGGAGGAGGAAGAAGAGGAGGAGGAGGAGGAGGAGGAGGAGGAGGAAGAAGAGGAGGAGGAGGAGGAGGAGGAGGAGGAGGAGGAGGAGGAGGAGGAGGAGTGCATAAATATTGGGAGAAGGACCCCGGAGCGTAGCCCACTTCTGAGTCCAGTGCAGTGCATGATGGGACATTTGGTCTTTCCACAGGCGCAGAGTTAAAAGGAGCAGAGGAGAGGAGGAAGTGAAAAGGCCTCAACACCAGAGAAACACACCGACTTCTGTTGCTTTGGGTTTTCACACAAACGGGATAAAACCGTAAAGTGTAAATATAAACGGACTGCGTCACTTTGTCTCGATCAGGCAGCGTCGGGGAGTAACAGATTACATGTACCAGCGTTAAGTAATCAGAGTACAAATTATGAGTAACTGTATTCGGTTACAGTTACCGTTTCAGTGAGTGGGAATTGGATTACAGGGCCGTATTTTTCACATTTTGGACTAAACCAGGACTAAAACCAGGACTAAAACCAGGACTAAACCAGGTCGAAACGCAGGACTGAAACTAGGACTAAAACTAGGTCTAAACCAGGTCTAAACCAGGTCTAAACCAGGACTAAACCAGGACTAAAACCAGGACTGAAAACCAGGACTAAAACCAGGACTAAACCAGGACTAAAATCAGGACTAAAACCAGGACTAAAACCAGGACTAAACCAGGACTAAAAAACCAGGACTAAAATCAGGACTAAAACCAGGACTAAACCAGGACTAAAAACAGGACTAAAACCAGGACTAAACCAGGACTAAACCAGGACTAAACCAGGACTAAACAGGACTAAAACCAGGACTAAACCAGGACTAAAATCAGGACTAAAACCAGGACTAAAACCAGGACTAAAACCAGGACTAAAACCAGGACTAAACCAGGACTAAAACCAGGACTAAAACCAGGACTAAAACAGGACTAAACCAGGACTAAACCCAGGACTAAAATCAGGACTAAAACCAGGACTAAACCCAGGACTAAAACCAGGACTAAACCAGGACTAAAAACAGGACTAAAACCAGGACTAAACCAGGACTAAAATCAGGACTAAAACCAGGACTAAAACCAGGACTAAACCAGGACTAAAACCAGGACTAAAACCAGGTCTAAACCCAGGACTAAAACCAGGACTAAAATCAGGACTAAACCAGGACTAAAATCAGGACTAAAACCAGGACTAAAATCAGGACTAAAATCAGGACTAAACCAGGACTAAAACCAGGACTAAAATCAGGACAAAACCCAGGACTAAAACCAGGACTAAAACCAGAACTAAACCAGGACTAAACCAGGTTTAAACAATATGACAGTAGGTTGGACATAATTTAATGCAGCAGTGTCTCATATAAAAATAATTTCTCTATCAATAATATTTTTTTATATGTTTAAGTAAAGACTGGACTTTTTATTTTCTTTATGCAGATAAAACAAAACATATTATGTTAAAATCCTCGTCTTTTCTTCTCTACAGTAAAACAAAAGTCTGTTCATGGAGACTTGGGCTCAACAGACAATTTGAAGAGAACAACAAGAATTTTCAGGATGTGGTTGGTTCATTCATGCAGTTTTAAAAAGAACGACAATATCAAGTAATCCAAAGTATTCAGATTACATTACTCACTTTAAGTAATTTAATGGATTACGTTACAAACTACATTTTGGTGTATGTAATCTGTAATCTGTAGGGGATTACATTTTAAAAGTCACCTTCCCAACACTGAGATCAGGGTTGGGCAAACTTTTTGAATCTTGGGCCACAAAGGTTCTACAGTTTGACAGAAGAGTCAGTCCGTATGAAATCAGCCGCCCTCCCCCATGAGCCATCTCAGATTTGGCTGAAAAAATTGCATAAAAAAATTCTAAAATCACCAAATGAAAGAATCTCAAATTTTAGCTCATTCCCTTCAGTCGTTCCTGAGTTATGCTCACGTTTTCTGAAGCCTTAATGTAAAAGCAGGTTTGAGAGACCATAACTTCATAAAAATAGAGCGAGGAAGATGAAAAATCGTCTTCGCTTATAATAAGCAAATAGTGTTTAAGTCTATTAAAGGTAATTTAATCTTTCTAGCAGGTGGAAAAGTCTAAGCTCCACCAAAAATGGTGGATGTTTTTATTTCTTTAAACTAATTACAATATGCTAAAGTTTCGCTGTAAATTTTTTTTTTTCAACATTTAATTGTGCCACATGGGGAACCGAGGGTCCAAAGAAGGGGCCAAAAAGATCACATTTGGTCTGTGAACATATTTGAGACTCTACACCGTCCACATGAAAACTCAGCAAAGTGTGAACCTGTTGTCAGAAATGGTCATTCTCTCAAATATTCAGGTTCAACAGTCAGTTTGTAAATATCTGCTTGGAGTAAGTAGATCTTGGACCTCAAAAATAAAAAAAAATAAAAATTTAGTGGCAACAAACGAGATTTTGGGGGCCCACAACGCTCCCTTTAATAAACATACACAATATTTGACAACAGATTCAGAATCTATGAAGAATTTACAATAATATGATTTTTCATCTTCCTAATATGAAGTTCTGGTCTCTCAAAAATGATTATAAATTAAGGCTTCAGAAAAAGTGAACATGGTCCCAAAATTTCAATGGGCCACAACTCAGGAACGACTCAAAGAAAAGAGCTAAAATTTAAGAATCTTTTATTTGGTCATTTAAAAAAAAAATTTGTTTTTTTTTTTCAGCCAAATCTGAGATGGATCATGGGAGAGATTTCAAACGGACTGACCCAGAAGAGCAACACCAGGAGCAGATGGATGGAGTTTTTTGCTAATCCACCTCATAAGAAAAAAGTAAAAAAAAGACGGGATATGTAGAAAATGTATCTCATCTTATTGAAATATCCCATAATTGAAAATCATTACAAAGCATCACAACAAAATATGTGTGTTTAAAGTCTCACAGTATTTACTATTTACTGAAATGACTTTTAAAACACTCAAAATTATTAATACTATTGTTCTTTAAGTTTGGCGGACCGGATTACAAAGATTAAAGGGCCGCATGTGGTCCCCGGGCCGTAGTTTACCCATCCCTGGTCTAGAATGTTCCACATTATAGCATTAAACTTCTCTATCCCCATGGACACAAGCCAAGTTACAGGTCAAATCTGTGGAGATGCAGCTTCGCCCAACAGTAAGAAAACATGTTTTCATAAATTATCTTTGAGAGAAACACACGTGTAACTGAAAACATAAAGACAGATAAAGACGTTGAAGGTCAGTGTCACAGTGTGGAACATTCCAGACAAAGCAACATCCCCATGGAGACGACAGGTGACAGAACAACCACCAGAAAAATCACGCAGTTCACTCGTATTTCTCTAAAGGAAATCACATATTTTTGTGGAGTTTGTCAGTGTTGTGGTTTATAATTCTACTTCCTGATTTGAAATGAAGAATCACACAAGGTCAGTCCAGAACAGTTACCTAGCAACCGCACTGTACACAAGGCCCAGAGCTAGTTATAATGACGGGAAAAATATACAAAATACACCTTCATTTTATTACATTAATGCTTAAAAATGTAGTGGAGCTCTTTATGTATGACCACATTAGTAAAATAATCCTTGATTGTCTCTTGGGACACGGGATTTAACACAAAGACAAAACAAAACAGTCACATAAACCCGCACAAACATCCACCACAGAAGAGAAATAAAAAAGAGGCCAATGACTGACACACCAACAGGACCTTTACATCACTCTTTACAAACAAGCCCTTCACACAGTTTTATTCTATTAATAATTGCCCATTCCCTAAATCTATGTGCAGTTTTGATTGCACATTTTCTAAAGCCCTATTCACATGAGATATATACAACCTGGGGGCATCTGGTAAGTTGAAAATTCCCGCCTCTACTGTGTTACTTTCAGATAAGCAAAGTTCGTAAATGACTCTATTTTACTGATATTGACACAGATTGAAAGAGAAAAGAATGGGGAAAGAAAAGAAAGAGATAGAAAATACGTGCAACTACAGCAACGATCACTGAGATGCAGATTTGCGCAAGGCTAGTATTAAAATCCGACGTCTGTGTTTGGCGAAATATAGTAGGTAAATTGTGGCAGAATTTTTACTTTACAAATTACAGACATGGCACATTTATACAGGATTAAGATCACATATGTCCTCCGCAATTATTACAAATCACCAAAGGTCCACAGGTCAAAGTACGTGAATAGGTGTTAAGCCTATGTGCATTTTTTATTGCACATTCTATAAACCTATGTGCATTTTTAATTGCACATTCCTTTGATTAATGCGCTGTTTTGATTGCACATTCCCTAAACCTACGTGCAGTTTTGATTGCACATTCTATAAACCTATGTGCAGTTTTGATTGCACATTCCTTTGATTAATGCGCTGTTTTGATTGCATATTCTATAAACCTACGTGCAGTTTTGATTGCACATTTCCTGTACCTTTGCACAGTTTTGATTGCACATTCTATAAACCTATGTGCAGTTTTGATTGCACATTCCTTTGACCTAAGTGCAGTTTTGATTGCACATTCCCTGTACCTTTGCACAGTTTTGATTGCACATTCCTTTGACCTAAGTGCAGTTTTGATTGCACATTCCCTGTACCTTTGCACAGTTTTGATTGCACATTCCTTTGACCTAAGTGTAGTTTTGATTGCACATTTCCTGTACCTTTGCACAGTTTTGATTGCACATTCTATAAACCTATGTGCAGTTTTGATTGCACATTCCTTTGACCTAAGTGCAGTTTTGATTGCACATTCCCTGTACCTTTGCACAGTTTTGATTGCACATTCTATAAACCTAAGTGCAGTTTTGATTGCACATTCCCTGTACCTTTGTACTGTTTTCATTGCACATTATCTAAACTTATGTGCAGTTTTGATTGCACATTGTCCAAACCTATTAAAGTTTGATTGCACATTCTCTAAACCTATGTGCACTTTTGATTGCACATTTCCTAAGCCTTTTACTTTTATTTTTAAGTACAATCCCTGAGTTTATTTACTTTATAAAACAATTAATGTCTAAAGGCACAAAATAACGTTCGAATTTGTTGAGTTTACAGTTTGACGCATG